GCTGTTGTCCTCTGGCCACGCTGACCAGCCCTGGCCACACTGACTGGCCGCGCCCCTGAACTCTGTGGCCAGGTCTTGTCCTCCTCTTGTCTTCTCTTGTCCTGCTCTTCTCTTGTCTTCTCTTGAGACCGAACAAATAGCGATGTCGATGCCGACCAAACTCATTGATGAAGCAGTTTGCTCTTGGGGGGAAGGTAGGGCGTACCAAGAAATCGTGTTTGACGAACATTGGTCCCAAACGAATCGTGTCGAAACTGTTTGGGGTCTAAGCTGGTATACTTTCGGATTCAATTCACTGCCCCTTGCGCCCCTTTACGGTCTGCGGAGCCAGAGACGCTGGGACGAGCAGACACCGCCTCCACGTCATTCTGCGCAACGGACACGGTCTGACTTCCTCAAGCAGCGAAGAACTCACAAATTAAGCTCCCCACCCCCGTCCGCCCCGTCCGCTAATTGGCAGAGCTCTCGCACCCCGTCCGACCCCGCAAGTAGCAAGGATTCCTGCATTGTGCGGGGCACTGCACCGCAGCAAGGACATTGCATAGAGGAGCGCTAACACAATCCCAATGCTCTTCCACAGCTTGGATGAAGCTTGGTTGTTCATGCGGTTCACAAACCCCTTGAGGGTTAGTATGCAGAATCTATACGTAACCTTTTGGGATGTTTTGGGTCATAAAGTGGGGGGGGGGGCCAACCTCGGTAGGGATACACCTGTAAGAAGAATGTGAGCTTCAAGAAAAGCCAAGGTCTCTGGATGTCTAACTAGTCCAAACCTTGGTCTCTTCGATTAGGTACAGCTTCCTCCCAACAAAAAACCGGAGGACCTCGAACTGTTCAAACGGTTCTATCCGCACCTCTCTCTCTCGCTCTCACATGCGCTCTCTTATATATACAACCGGGGCCCGAGAGTCTGAAGCCTCAAAAGGCCTGCGAACGCGGACTTGTTTTCTAGGCCGCCGATGCACCCGATTGTAGCATAACATATGCTTGTTCTTCCGAAACAATATAGAACACC